GCTTTTTCTCATGATTCTCCTCCTTCTTCTTCTTCTTCTTCTCCTCCTGCCATATCTTTAAATGGATTCAGCTTCTTCATTTTAGGGCCTAAGGTCCTGAAATTTGGTATGGAGGTACAGTGGGCAAATACCCCTAGGCGTTTTTTAAATTATTGTGATACAGGCTTTTAGAATGGTTTTATTTGAGTTTTTTGGCTGTGTAATAGCTAATGTATTACTGTGTAAGTGTGCAGTGTTTACCACATTTGGACATGAGTCATCACAATGGCATGCAAGGCATCAACCAATAGGCATGCAGCTTTCCTCTATTCTCCTTGCTGATTGGCTGTTGGGATTTAACTGGCTTAACTTCATTTACACCTGCACAGAGCCATGCCATACTGACAGTATGTCTGTATTCAAGTGTTTTGGTAGGTATTTTAAGCTTTCCTGCTCCAGCATTGGAATGCGGGCTATGAACGCTTCTTTTTATCTTGAAAATCAACAGTTTGCATTATGCAATCCTAACCAATAATGTAGGGAATAGCTATCCAACTGTTGTAGTCTTAGTTGTATGTTACTTCATACTATAGTTATATCAATGTAAAGCATTGTTTTCCCTTGTGTTTCTCATTCTTTCCCTGCCATGTGGTAAAATGTGGTGAACCCATCGCTATATTTGCTCCAAAGCAAATATTGGCCTTTCTAGTTATACTCTGGGTTCTGATTATATAGCGTGGTGTGGTCATAAACCGCGGGTTCTGATTTTTTTAGACGGCCATCAATCGGGCAAAGCAATCGGTGGCTACCAGAAACGTCCGGAGGGTCGGTGTCAGGAAATATCTGTCATACCACACTCCAGAACCGTTCCAAACTTCAGGCTTTAACACAACATTTTATGTCGCCTCTTGGATTGCGGCGAACAGGTGAACTTCTCCGCCTCCGGCCCTCCCTGCGTGCCGAGGATACCAGACCGTGGCAAGGTGGTCTGGTGGTTACTGTTGGTGACTCAGAATTTGTAAGTTCTAGCTTCCAAACCAAGGAGGACCTCAGTGGTGTGCCCTTGGGGAAGTCACTTTGCATCGATTTCCGAAATCACTCGTAGTAATTTCGGTAGTGACTCCCAGCTCAGTCCCTGTTTTTACAACATTTAGTACGCCTTTCTATTGTTGCATTATGAACGATTCGCCTTCCATCTCCTACATCTATTTAAATAATATCCTGGTTAGAGAAAGAGGTCAGTAGCAGGTAGTCAGTTGTGACCTTACACTGACCAGACAACATCCTGCCAACGTCGACGTCCTGCTCTGGTAATGGACAGAGCACAGGCCAGCTGGAACGGACTGCACTCATGGCCCTTCTGACCCCGAGCTAACCTATCTTGACCTGTAATTTGTTTTACCAAGCGTGTCTGTATTTCTACGTGCGAAAAAGAACTGCCTTTTGTCAGTTTGCGGAATATTGGGTGACATTTGGTTTCACTGCTGTGTGTTGGCAATTTTTTTCTATATAATTTAAAATGAGATCAATAAATTCAAAAAACCTTATTCAGGCTCTGCTTGTCTGCTCTGTGATAGCGTCCACGTCGAATATTCAGCTGGAAACTACGGTCACAGGAGCCGGAATAGGATAGATAGCAGGCTACGATGGCTCATCTAATTGGCTCAAAATCAGACGGTGATAGAACATGTTCAAACCTTTTCATGTCTTCCTATCTAAAATAATACTATCATGCCTGCCATCTGTGAATTTTGTAAATTCTTCGAGATGTAAGCAAACTATAATAGCTTGTACTTGTATGTACTCACGATAATCATATTTCGCTTGCTTCTGGAAAGAACGTTTTTCACGAGCCGTGGTACCACCGTCTGAACTGGCTGCCATGCATACCGTGACGTCACTGCAGCATTTAATTGAATTGACTATTTCCAGGAACTGTTGTATTTCGCTGTCATTGCTTTCATGCCGTATTTCATGCCAATACTCACCGGTTGTTACCAATAACTATTCTGTATTTTTAAGAGGGAGCAAATTGTGTGATTAATCATGGAAACTAAAGTGTCGTCGACGGACACGGGGTTGTGTTGGACAAAAATCAGAAATCCTGACAATGTAGGCGGTAACTCAGGGAGGAACATGGAGATAAGACGAAGAAGAATAAGACCGTGAAGACGAGAAACGAAGGAAGTCGTCTTGGGGTTATCCCGGGCTTATCTTACGTTGATGGAGCAGCTCATTCGCACACGAGCGTTACAGTAACTGTCTGTTTCTGCTTGTTTCTGTGCTAAATGGCCTCCGGGCGGGGAGATGTTAGTTTTAGAAGACAGATGGCCCAGGCAGCTCCTGCTATCTTTTCCCAACAGATCATTCACAAACCCCATTTCCACCATTATAAAGATGCGAGAAGAAGCTAATCCATATACCAGATTACTGCACTGGGACCAACGTGTGCCTGTAAGATATATACCAGATAGCAATGAGAAAATCATAGTGAATGCAATCAGAAATCAGTGCTATTTTCAAAGATCTACAGAATAGATGTCTGTGCCAATGTCAATTTGAATGTACGTTATGACAATGGCACCAGCATGTTCAATTAAGGTCTTCATTCTATTGCTGTATAGTTCCATATATGTGCATGTAGGCGTATTGTATATTAATGATGGTGATTGGATACACAACCTACACTCAAAGGCGATACCGCCTGTTGGATTGATTTGTGTTCGCCCCCGGGGCCACTTTAAAACCACCTTGGTGGCGATATTCTTACCCTTGAAAAACAGCGAGTACATATGTGCCCATTATAGTTTTCAGTATTGTTATTCAAAAACCCAACAAACGATAGGAAGCTCCATGTAAAACCGTTTTACTGCAGCTGGGACGGGCACGAAATAAACACCAGAACCGAAATGTTCCAAATTGTGGCCTCCGGGCGGGAACTACTTCAACAACATTGTCCTGTCGCTTTCGATCCCCCATGAAATCGCTCCAAATCTGTAAGGAGGGCTCAGCGTCTTGAGGAGTCGGATCAATATCCGAGGCGTAATCTTGGGCAATCTTCCCAACAACCCACGGCGGTTCAATTTCGTCTTCCGTCTATCGTAAGTCTCCAACAGTCCAACAACGCTGGCTGGGAAATTAAAGTATTTAGCCACACAGAGAAAAGTTTACCGGCAGAGTTTTTGGGCACTATAGGGTTGCACTTGCCCACGCAAATGTTACAGTAGGCTCAATCTCCAGGCCATTCATTCAAGATGTGTCGAATTTTAATATACTATTATACTATGGTGGAGGCTAACCTGGGAAGCAATATCATACATTTAAAAACATTTGTTTTGTGTGATCTGTGACTAGAACGACAAGCCAAGTTTGAACTCCCATGCCTGAGGCGTCCCCGTTTCGCGCTCCCTCACATAGACCGGTTCAACGTCCTGATTGGGCCAAGTTAAACGCTAGTGACGTCAGCAAGGGCGGTTGCCAAGGCAACACGAGATGGGTCTGTCAGATCCGTACATGATTGGCTGATGAAGGACTTCAGGCTGCAGTGTTTGTACCAGGACGTAACGGGGCTAAAGCCTAGTCTCCAAAAGATATTTCTGTTGAAGACTACAGATCTTCCTGTCGGAAACATAGTAGAAACTGTCAGTGACCAAAAGTTAGGGGTATCTTGATAGATAAGTTGACAATATACGAGTGCACAATCAAGCGCACAACAATCCGACCCCCCACCTCCACCCCCAACCTTGTTTCCGGCTTGCAGATAGTTCAGATAACACTCAGATTTAGTAGAAATGGTCTTTGTGGATATCGATAGCCATTTGCATCAACATTGGTCGTCTTAGATTTTCAGAGTGACCCGAAATTGAAGACATTTGATAAATTTGGAACTCAAGTATCCGTACATGGTTATGAAATATACCATATTAAAGGGGAAGTATGTTGTTACTGATAAGGGAAAAGTACTTTGTTTTAATTCAAACAATACATGTGACAAGTTAAAGTGTGGTGTATTTAAGGGGGTGATTGGTTTTCTTGTGTCGAAGAAGTATCTGGAGAATTGCTGGATGCTTAGATTATAGCTGCAGAGCGTCACACAATCTGGGCGTTTTACAGAATGAACAAAAACACCTTGAGAAAACACAAAAACTTGAGCCCGTTATTTCGGCAGAATATACAGTAAACGCGTGCTGTCAGTTGAAATCCTCCTATGGTCATATTGTGCTATCTACAGTACGGTCACAACGTTCGTAGTTGTAATGATATTTTACTTCAAAATCAAGTACATTTTTCAAAGTCCAACTGTCTCTCCAAACCTATGGTGATCAGTATTGTATGGCGTGGTCTGTATTTCATTTAAATGCTGAATATGCAGCATGCTTTTAGTGTTGCATGGCGTGCCAAGTCTGTATTATGTTATCTACATTCGTGCCGGAACGTTTATAGTTGTAAAGATATCTAACGTTAAAATGAAGTTCATTTGTCAATTTCTAAGTGCCTTTCCAAATCTTGGGGGATCAGCATTGATGGCGTGCCGAGTCATTAAAATGGTTAACAAATTTACACTCCTATCATAAACCATGAGTCACGTAACTCAGGCATTCTTCGGCGCGGTAAAAATGTAATAGGGTTACTGACATTAAGCCTCCATACAGCCGACAAGAACTCACCGGAATCACACAATAAGCCATCAATAATACCTGTAAGCGCGTGTGAGAAAACTCGCGGGAACATCTGTAATGGACCTACCGGGGAGGGAAGAATGGCGGGGGTGTCAGACCTATCCGTCATGCGGCAGGGGCTGAGTATGGGTGGGAAACGGCCCACGTGCGGAGCCAGCACACTTAAAAAGGCCAACACCTTAAGCGTATTCACTGCCATTATGGGAATTCTCCATAAGAGGGTGGCGCGTTTGGCAACCCGTCATTTAGCGCGGGTGCAGACGACAAGCGCTTTGAAAGGGATTTGGTTTGCGTGTTTGTCGTTTCCAGCCTTTCGTTTAACGCTATGAAAAGCCGGCTGTCACACAATATTTGGTCTCCTCGTTTTATTGCCCATCTCTAAATGCTGAAACTTCTCCGTGGTGATCCACACAACAACTTTTCCTATACATCAGCTTCTTTGTGCAGTGTGACTGGGATCATACACCTGCGAACTTTACAATAATTGCAACTGGGCCTTCCGCCAGACTCATGTATGATGCACGTACAACAAGCGACGTCGTTTTCCTGCACATTTGAAGTGAACCCGTTTGCGCCAACACACACACACACACGCGTCGCCATCGCCCTACCCAGTGCGTAGACAGACTTAATTATTCATGATGTTGAATCAATAAAAACAGCAATAACCGGGGTGATCAGCGAGACATGCATCAATACAGCCGGCACAAAGGTAATGACAGGTCTCCCGCCTGAATGACGTCAGCTACCACTGCCGGCGCATGCGCAGAGCGATAATAAGAGAGGCACACTTACTTAGGGGTGTACACTCGGAGTCGTTTCCCCCGCTCCTGTTGGTAGGCATGGACAGGAGGAGTCGGTGGAGAAACGGCTGCTGTCTGACGTCCGTGAACGGGCCCGGGATCTTTTCTGAAACGCAGTACATAAAAGACAAATTTGTAAACAGTCATCAAGGAGATCTTCCCCCGCTTCCTTTTAACCTCGTTATCCCGGCATGTCAGAAAGGACCGGGTAGATAGGACCGGGCGGTTTACTCCTATCAGCTCCACACGCATCCTTTTTAACGGCTATATTAAGCCGCAGCTTTGCCCTTGGTTTATGGGGCCCTACATAAACCGTCCGACGCGACGTTTATTCTGCTGCAATTGTCATGCCCCATTGCGTCCACAATTTGCCAACGCGCTGGGGACCGTCTTCTGACTCGTGCTGCGAGCGATCTTGCTGAAGGTGACCGCTGCTTCTCCAGCAGAACGCACACAATGTCACCGGGAGGCAAGACTGTTCAAGCAATGTACGTTATGCCACATGAGCGTAAAGGACAATTTCGCCCCCCGATTCTCGGAATAATGCGGAGAATAAAGTGAATATCAATATTCAAACGCCGCTTGGAGCGCCGGCCGGCCGGCCCAGCTTTTTAACTTGGCGGGTGTGCAGCATACAAAAACACGCTAATTGCTACACACATACAAACAGATGCACACCCACCTGCGCCATCCCGGCCGAAATAAGAAACCGTAGAGAAGACGAAGAGGACCGTGCAGATGAAGAACAGCTTCCCGAGCAGGGAGGATCGCCTGGCACGTCTGCGGACCATGGCGACGCGGCGGTCTATCCGGGCGGGCGCGCGAGTCAGGCCCGATGCCGCATGACGTCAGCTGCGGGCGGGCGGCTGGCGGTCGGCACGGCGGGGCGGCCGTCGGACGAGCTGCCGGGCGGGAGGAACGGTCAGTACGGCACGGACGGCGTCGCTGTCACTGCCGTCTCCACGCCTCGCGCCGAGCAGATGCCGGGCTATGGGAACTGCGCCGCTATTTTTGTCCTGCCCATAATTGATGCTGGTAATCACAGAGCAGCAGCCCAAATCACATTAACCCGAACTGGTGCCATTGGACGACGGGTAATGCTATGACAGTCTGCGCCAGGTAGCGCGCCAGCTTTGATTCCGTTATAACGTCGCCGTGCCACGTGACCGTCCCGCAGGTTAAGTGGGCGGGGCGACGCACTCGCTCAACACCTCACCTTATAACATCGCATTCTTCCAGAAAGCGCACACATTTCAGACAAGTGACAAGCAGACGGACTCCAAATAACACGAGGACCGCAACTGGAAGTGTCAGCTGACAAGAGAGAGAATCTCTGACTCATAAGCCAGCTGCCAGCTAGCCAAATATGTAAACTTGCAAATTTAGGTGCTAGGCAGATTGTATGAATACACCAGCTGACTTGAGGTATTGGATGTTTCTAGTCAGTCTTGTCACTAGGGTCAACTTCCCCAGCGTTGGGGCAAGTAGATGTAAGGATCCGGATATTCCGTGGTTTTGCAACACTTTTATGCGTGTTTTTTTTGCGACATTGCACTTTTAGTATTGCACTTTAAGTGTTAACGTTGCACTTTTTGCAAGAACAAGGAGGTCGTACCAACGTTACATGTTGAAAAGCCACTCATAAAATACTTTGAGTGAACCGGATCCTTAGCTGCTTATAGATGAATGGCGGGAAACTTACGGCCAGACGAACTCTGAAGGAAGCAGCTGTGGGAGGGAGATACAGACAGCTAGTCCTGCTGTCATCTATCTAGCCTCAGTATGACGTAACATTAGACCCGTAACGGCTATAACGGTGTCTTTAGTGAGCTGTGTGAATGTTGGATGGGGTCTGCTCATTTCAAAACGGAGAAAGCTAGGGAAAAGCTTCATTATCTATTTCCACAAATAAGGTGAACAAAGTACATAAAAATGCAGTGACTGGCGCACGTGGATGTAAACGTACCAATAAAATTGTCTAGAAATCGTCAAGAAGATGTAGGGTTTGACTTAGTCTTTTTGAGGCATTTCTACGTCTTTCAAGGAGGCGAACAGATAGAAACGCGGACCAGAAGAAAGATGTCAAGAGAAAACACTACATCTGCTTGGAGATTACGTAGTGGCTCATCACCTAACACCCCATCAATACGCACCGTGGCGTTTTCGTCATCCCTCTAACCGGAGATCCCCCGGAGATGAGGTAACGATGACATGAACCAGCTTTGTGTATAAACAAGGGAAGACAAACCCCAAATCTGGCAGGCTATAAGTCACAGCATATAAAATGTCGTCTGCTAATGACGTCATGGTATATTGGGTTATACTATTTTTAGGGGAGGACGGGAGTCGACAGCCAGTCGGAGCGGAGAAGGTATCAAAATTTGGAAAACGTTAGGGCAGCACCGAGCACAGAAAGAACCGCAGGGTTGGTGTAGAGATACAATAAGTAAAGGATACAAATGATCTTGCCGTGCAGTGAGAACTTGATGAGCCTTGAACTGATTCTTTACCATCGATATCCACCTTTCCATGTTATATATATCTGTACATTAATGCTTTTCACGAATGTATGAAAATCTCAAATTTGACCTAATTTGTTAAGCGTACTTTATGCATCCACTCAGAAAACTGAAAGGGGTATAATTTTTTCCCGTCATGCATGTCCCAGCGGGACAAGAACCCAGGTCTCCCGGCACGGTCCCACATTTCTACACACTAATGCCAGTGACGCACCGACCCGGTCCCAAAAGACAGCCCTTAGAAATGTTTATTCCCGGCGCCGGGGCTGTAGAATGCTATTCTCAGAATCATGACATAATAGTCCCTGTCTGGATCTGAGCCATGGACATATATGTACGTCAAATGTTCCTATAATGCTCCCAACTGATGTTTTTGCGTATTTTGACGCATTTTCTACGTTTTTCCGTTGGTCCACTTTTTCCAATCTCTTTGCCCTCCTCTGCACATGCGGGCTGTTCATTAGAATCTGTTCTACAGCCATTTCCCATTGACTGGAAGAAAGGAAAAGTATTAGAAATTTGAGTTCTTAAAGATTGATAACTGATAGACATCTAGATGCGATGGTGGTCTCTTGGCACAGTTATGGGTGCAAGCCATACGATTCTATACATCTTTTGATGTGACAAAAAGTCATTACCCGGCAGTGAACCTTGTTTTACTGCTAGGGGCGGTTATTCCGACTAATTAGTTCCGATGGAAGTCATATTTCATTTCCTGTCTTTGAAAATGAGGTTTCAACGCGCATATTGCTCAAAGGGAGAAAGCGTTTTGATCTGATATTTCCGGAGCGCAAGAAAAACTCCCTGAAGGAGAAAGGTCATCATGTGGAACAATAAATGCAACAAGGAAAAACGCTAAGGTCCCTAGCCTCGTTAGCAGGACTACGGTTTTTTTAGCTGATGATATGTTGCTTCTGATTGTCACTGTCAGTACATGGCTTCTTGTAAGTCCATTATACCCCCCCCCCCTCAAAACGAAACCAGTAAACCTGCAAATGCTACCGAAACATGATCTTGTAGTCGTGGTAAAGGTGACAAGGGCTCTTACAGAAGGGCTGAGCTTGAATAACGAAGAATTGGCTAGCATGTGTATCTTGAATATGGTCCATGTAGGCTGTAGATGACAAAATCACGCATCATCACTGCTGTATGAGATGAAATATTTACGGGTATCAATACGACTGCCGTGATACGTTTGCTGGATTGATTTATAATTCAGGGAAGTGATATTTGCTTGCTTTCATGGAATCCACTGCGTGCACGTCATCAGTTCGAGTGGACAACGTCAAGCAGTCGTTATCTCCAAGCAGATGTTCCGAGATCGTGACGTTTTCCTGGCAGCCAACATTTTGTAACAAGTCAATCATTGAAATAAGAGGGTGGTTTCTGTGTTGACTTTTACTCCTTGCAAAGCAGGTAGCAAAAAAAGCTGCAGGTTCTTGGGTCGAATCCCTAGCAGTCCCCATCCTTATTGTTGGGTCCTTGGGAAAAGCAATTCACACCTATTTCTTCACTAGACTCATGTGAAAATGAATACCTAGTTTTTTAGTTTTTATTTTTAATTTTCAATGCAAAGCCAACTGATTTCTAGGCACAGAGCTTAGGTTAGGGATGAGACGTAAAGCAAAGAACTGTATGTGTGAGGACATGGAAGGTATTCGGTTGTGTTACTTTTATCATAGACATGATCAATTTGGGTCAGGCGTGAGTGGGGTTGCATTAGACAGGTCATTATGCGGTAGAAAGTGAGATATGATGGACGGTACTGACAGAGAAACACTAGTTTGGTACGCGGAAAGAGGATAAAACATTTCGTCTGAGAGCCATGGTGTGCTTGTATGCCTGAGGGACGCTAATTACGTTGAAGAACCCATTACACTTAAAGACCCCACCGCGCTAACGTTAGAAAAACAACACACATGTTTTTCAGAAACATCAACAAATTCGCACAGGGACGGTAAACGGTTCTTGGAATTATTGCATCATACAATGACGGACAGGACAGTGTACATAATGAAACCGAGCGTTAACCTTTTAATAGCCACGTACCGAGTGGTATTTATAAACATATATCTGCCCTTAATACGACACGAGCCTAATGATAAATGACGGTCCTCTTTTAAACCCTTTCACGAAACCCTTGATGTTTTCAGTTAAAAACCAAATGAAACTCATCACGCAAAGGAACAAATGACGTAAACAGGAAATATTTCGAGTCTGGTCTGATCGTTCGTCACGACATCGCCTGCTGAATTATGAATGAGAGGATCTAATGATGGTTTGTTTCCACACAGGTGGTGAGAGTAGGTACGTCACAGTCTTGCGTCGTGTTTTCTCCTCTTTTAAAAAAACAGCTCGTGCAGCCGCGTGATGTGCAGTCACATTCGTCGTAGGTCGTCACTTGATGTCGCAGGATTTTTAAAAAGGTTGTGCCAGAACCAACCACCGACAAGGCTCCAAATGAGAATTTTCCGTAACAAGACAGCTGAAGTCGTGCAAGGACACCTGCACGACTGTGCCAAGAGTGTATTTTTTGCGATCGTATGAAGATCGTACATGTATGCCACCGGGCCCTAAGTGGTAAAGACTTCACCGCGATGAATTGCATAAGCGATAGGTATCAATGGCGTTCTGAATTGGGGCAACAGCATTCTGCAATTTCTGTAAGGTTCCACTAGACGGCAATCACTGAGTGACCAAAATTGGCTTGGTGTGACCCTTGATGTTATAATTGGAATATGACGCAAAGTTTTGATTGAAAAGACAACAAAACACACAAAACGTAAGAGTCGTTCTTTATCTGTGACATTCGTTAAGTGACCTGTCAAAATGTTTGGTTGGTCATCGGCCGTAGCCTCTAGTTGAGAGGGGGTATTACCTTTTTTTATTCACCTTATAAGGGCAACACTGATCCGGAATATCCACCAACCCAGCAGCTAGTAACAAGTTTGTAACAGCTTTCCCCGCTCGGAGAGAGACATGTGTGGAGGATCGATATCGTTTGGCGGACCGATCGCGACATTCGGACCTGATCATGAATTGGCTTAGTTCATAATTACCCTTTATAAAACGCCATCATGGCGCCTTTTGGCCTTTTCAGCTCACTTCTGGATGAGTCGACGCCGCTGTCGGGACTATTTTCTGCACCGATAGTCATTCCACCCGGAGTAACCTCCACATCTACGTGCCCTGGATATCAGTTAGGTCTGGTCTCCTCAGCACGATCTACAGGCTCTCAGTTCTCGGTAATTGGTTTCTTGTGGTCCCGGCCTCTGTAACCTCTTAGAAAGAACTGATATGCCATCAGAACAATACACTTTTTAGGGTTAAAATATCCGGCCAGTCCAATTTCGCCCATTCCTCTGTAAAGCCAGCGTCACACTGACATTGACAAGGACTTTCTGCCACAAAAGTGAATCTGTATAGCCGGTATAACCGCCCCTCGGCGTAACACACCACTATTCTATTTTGGCCCGAGTCTACCCAGTTACGTTGGACGGGACTCGGGACCAACGTGGACAGATCCCTGTGTTATTTGTCTAAATAAATCAAACCATATTAAGTGAAATAAAATGTGACTAGATCTAGTCTGATTTAAATGCTAGCTCTTTATTGTTAGGTTTGAGTTCTTTTTTTTTTGAAACAGAAGAATGACCAGTGATCCCATCGAGATACAATCAACACTGCTGTGTTCAGAACGTAATCTGAAATTCTATTCCAAACATGTACTACATGACATTTGTCTGTCTGAGTGCGTACATGTAAAACCTAAGGAAGATAAATGTAGGTGCAAATCCTGCCGTAAGTACCCGACTTCCTCCGGCGGAGCGGCTGGTGCTGATGTTGCCATGGTGACAAAACAAACCACGCTGGTACTCCATTACTAAACCCATCAAGTGGACCGATGTTTGATTTCAAACACGGCCTCCTGGCGCAGCAGAAAGGACGAGAAAAGGGGAATGAAAACAACATCGCCACATTAATGTGCTAGAGTCATGACTTGTATGCATTGCCAAACCACATTCAAGTGCGGCTAAATGAATGCAGGACGGATTATGCCACCGTTATAAATGGATGAGTAGACAAATGTTAGATGTGTTACACGCTTTTTTATTCCATACGGACTGTGGTGGATGTAGTTCACTGCTGCATCCCAATCAATTTTCTTCACACTACGAGTACTGTCAAAAGCAGTCTGGTGCATTCTCTGACCTCAGGTTCGCCAAGAATGTACAAAGAATGTCTTTCCTCGAAACTTTCGCCGTAGTCATCAATCCTTTGCAAAATGTCTCCGGTTATAATGTACTCCTGTGTCTGGAGCCTCACAGTCTCCCTCCGCCAAACTCCTCTGGTCACATGGAGAAAATGGCCAAATAGGGTGAATGATTCGCTAGAGGATTCAGTCGGCAAGTTACATGTTAGCAACTCCGGGGCCTGTGAACAGCCGCTATGGCCTTCGATGTCAACCAACTAGAGCCTAATTATAGTAACCAACGTCTAATTCCTCTGGAAAATTATTCACCCTATTCGGTCAATAACTACAGTCAATACTGCCCAGGACGCCACTCTATGATAACAGATCACTGTAGACGGGAGTATCAAAGCTTGAGTCAATGGGAAAACTTAGCTAAGAGGCCACCAAAATGGCCTAATTTGCCAGGCGGTCCTTATGTAGTAGGTACCCGGCAAGTCTGGCTCCCACCTTTTCTGTCAGTAGATGGATGTCCACAATAGAAGAGCTCATCTGGGCCCGGATGTACGAGCGGTTACTAATTTTTCTTCCTAATAGTGGCTGTTAAACGCCCGGCGGGCAGCACAGCGTCCTGTATCAAAGGACTAATATCCAGTCTATCTGCTTACTGTAACGAGTCTCTTTCACCCGTACTATAAATACAATGAATTTCCATGGACGGTAACCGCCGGACGACTAAAATTCGATATGTCACCAAAAATTCGCCCAAACCATTGCAAAGGTTGGCTCGGCGAAAAAGCTTCCACTGCTTTAAAATACTTCAACATTCAATGGCGACATGCGGACCACTGCACGATCACCGACAGACCTTCGGGTAAGCTTGCGGACCGTTGAGCGCTCCCCTGCATGAGAAATCTGTCAAAATTTTGGCCGCTCAACGCATCTATGGGGGGACACAGAATTTAGTATCATAGGGTATTCAGCCTGGGGTCATTGACCTGTGGTCCTATCAAACGAGAATTTTATGTCTATGAAACAATCCAGTCATGGCCTGGCATTAACAGATGAGCAAACATTTGTGAGGGACATTTCCTGCGTTGTCACCAACACCTGTTGCTCACCCACTCCGTTCGAAAGTCTTCATTCCGTGGAAGACACAGACATGTGGCTTGTTAACAGCAAATATATTCAGCGTGGATGAAGATTAGATATCCAGGCAGAACACCACGTAATGCAAAATAATTGCATGAATTCTAAAGTGGATAGATTCTCTGAAGTGTCGGGAACGCATGGAATCAAACCTGTCACTTGTCGATCACGTGTCCACCTGCCTAGCCAGGAATACTGCGCCAATGTGACTAAGAGTAAGAGACTACTGTTTAATGATTAATGTCCCGAAAACGTGGTGCTGAGGGCTCAGAGTTATGAGTAGTGTACGTCAACCCATACTTCACTGATGACTGTTATAATGGGTTCTGCTTGTCTCACCTACTTAAACTGTAAATTCACTTACTAATAGGTTTGAGGGGGAAAGCAGGCATTTGCCATATCTAACTTTCTCCTTACTGCCTAACCCCATAACCAAGAGAGAATCCTTAGCAAAATGCCTACTCCAGTGTGCTGAAGGTGCACTGCTGGCAGAAAGTTTGTGATGGTTTTGCACAGGAGAGGTCACTGCAAATATTTCCAGATTTACAGTATGCGCATTTCAGATAAAAGTACATTCACCAGTGTGAAAGAGGTCAAGTGTTTCCCTTATTCTCACAGTAGCTCACAGAATGTCAGGGAAGGTCGAAAAGGTAAAGATAAGATACAGTTGGCTTAACAGTTAAAATTGAATAAAACAGCAGATTCACTAAAAATATTCAACATGTATGAGATCTTCCATTTTTTGTTTGGAGATGATCTAATCCACTTTTTTGGGTGCCATTGTGTGTTTTCCTACAGCTGCAGATGTGCATATTGATGTCAGGCAAAATTTAATCCTTTTGTGTCTTTCAACAAAGTGGACGTCATGTTGAAGTCTGCGACAACTGTTCAGTCACTTGCTCCATTTTGGCATCAGCTGGCTCCTCGGCTGTGTTACTGGCTCCTGATTTCTTCTCCCATTTCTGTTGTCGTGCAGCCTTGGCCTTCTCTGGCTTACTCTGCAGCAAAGAGCAAGATAAAAACATGGCATATTAGTTACAAGACATGGGCACCGATCAGTGTAGCCTGACTACATCACGCTTGTCCAGTAGCCTGACTACATCATACTTATCTGGAATATGAAGAAGTGCAGCGCAGGTGGACATCAGAAATGGCTTCACATCTCCAAAGAAATCAGAAACTCCTGCACTGGTAACCTGCATATGCATGTGGTATTTCAAGCCCTGCAGATGTAACAAGAACTGAATAATACCTCCATTTTCTGTGACTTACGGTCCATTCAGTCATTCTACACCCCTCTTTCTGTCATGACATCTTTAACAAAATGAGCTCTTTGAGACCAAATCAGCCAATGTGCCCTTTTAAAACACATAATGCACACAGTGCTGGCTTATGTGCCTGGAGCAAGATGATTTGTGAGGCTTAGTATGAGAGATAAGGTGAAGTAGGAGTGCAGTTTGTAGAAAAGAGATAAGGCTATTTCTTGACCATACGGTGTATTGAGGCTTGACTGCTTCTGACGTCTCATGAATCATGTTCAAGTTGAACCTTTTTTCTGTGCCGACGGCGTCCCTTAGATCTGACACGACTGTTTGATGTGGCATTTCGAAGTTGTAAAAGGCAAAGGGGAGGGTCCTGCATCCTTTTTGAGTCTGTAGGGGTAGTGGGTTGTTGATCCACATTGTTGTGGGCACGATATTCATTGTATGGTGGAACCCATCCCTCTCCTTTAACTTGCAGTTGTGAAAATGGCCAATAAATGCAAACTACCAAGTACAGGACACATCCACAGTTACTAGTTTAACGGTTCAACAAGAGAATATTCATAAAAATAGCAGCCTCCGGGGAAAGCAAGCGGCCTCTGTCAGAATCAGCAGTACTGATACAGATAGAAGACAATATGATGTGTTTTGTATGCAGTCAGACAGCTCAACTGAGGCCCCTTTACCATCCACAACATTCAAATGGGATTTTCTAGATTTTCTACTGAATCACTTTGAAACCAATCTATTTTTCTGACAGATGCATTCACACCTGTTTTAGAAAATGTTATTAGTCCCAACTGCAAGCATGTTTGTACTTTGCTTCAGTATCAGTGATAATTGAGGTAGGCACACATTAGATATCCTGGTGTTAAGGACATTCTGGAGAAGGTCTTGATATTAATGATAACACTGTGTTTATATGTGGGCATCTCAGGGTTAAGGTTACAGACCATTTTTGCAAGGGTGAGCCTGAATGTTATGCCGATGCTTTGAAAGGAAGAGGAATGATGAATAGTGTTCAACGTCTCTACTGTATATCCATCCATCTCTGTCCTATACTCATCAAGACACTGTCACACAGCAGGAAAACAGCTTGCACCACAGGTCTGCAAGCTTAAAAGGACATATTCAGCTGGAATACAAATGGTGTTTTGTTCATAGACCACCTAGCGCTGTCCAATATGACGGTAGATTGGTAGATTTTCAGGCAAAAAATATGCTCCACTTGATTTTGATACTCAATCAACAAATTCATTGGCAGTAAGACTTATATAAATGGGTTTGTCATGCAGGACTGTGGTAATGTGAGGGAGATTGGTGGGCAGAAGTCATGAATCACGCTCTTCATTCAAGCATTTATCTCACATCAAAGGAGTCTCTATCAGACCTCCCCTCAAATTAAATAAAAGTCGGCCCAAATATGGATAATTGGTAGGGGCACTGAGAATGATTCATTCAACCAAAGGTAACTCTATGGTTGGCTAAGTCCTTTATGGCCAATTTGTACTGTTTGTTTGCCCATAGAGTTGGGTAGGACCTAATAACCACAATATACAGCAGTCACGACTCACAACGTCATTACAGTACTTATCTACATCAAAGGAGAAAGAAAATTTGTCATCATTATGGGTATCAAAATTGAATAGTAGTACACTGTTGTTTTGCAAACCCTAAATTGACATGAAGTGAAATCACGAACAAAATCTATTCTCTGAAATTATAATATTTCCCTCCACTTAGCCTAATCGGAGTCTGAGTTATAGCCACATGTAAATCACTATTAACTTTGTCACTAAAGACAACACCAATTTTATTTGTTGATGCTTGAATTTTTGCAGAAAAATAATCAACTGAAATTGCATGTTACAGGAGCCACAAAGCCTGCTTTCCACTTAAACAAAGAATTTTCAACAAGCAATGCATTGATAAATGGAAAATTATTACAGTAACAACTAGGAAGACAATGACTTTTGTTCCCAAAACACACAATAAAATGGTACGCTGGATATGTTTGTCATTTGATTTCATCAGAAACATGGGCAATGTAAGAACCAAAAATTGAATTGCTGAGGCCTGAAGACAAGGTTCAAAAGAAGCTGTATCAAAACATCCCTGAGGATCAAAGCTACTGTATTGTCTGTACTTCCACTTGTTTCAGCTGATTCATCTTCCAATTAGTGCAGTTTCAAAGGAAGCCATGTCACGACAGCATTGACACAACGGAAAGGGAGAGATAAAGGTGACTACGTTATAACCCTCATGTCAGTGACAGGAAGTACAATTCAATGCTGGCTATGCCATTCTTCTAATACAACAATGCAAACATTAAGATGAATAAATATGACAAGAAAGCAAAGTTTAACGCAGATGAATCAATTCACTAATTAGATACTAGTAGTCATAAAGGCTGAGAGCTAGTGTCTGAGTTTAATCATTGAATAAAATGCAGTAGCTATAGTGTCTGTTTATTAATTTCAATTACTTGAACTACCAGTCAGTTTAAAAACTATTATAAAAATGACCCAATTTGAAAGAAATACATGTAAAGGTAATACCAATGTGATTTAGATAGTTCACTATTTATATAGTCTATTTTGTCTATTGCCTGCTGTTACATGTACATGATAGGCATTTCCACTTGATTGCATAGCTTTAAAGGCATTCAATTGGTTTTATATTGGCTCTCACTAACAGTCATTACAATGCAATGCTGTCTTTTTTTGAAAACCATTTGTTCCCCCCATCATTGCCATAGAAATGCATCTCATCACAACCTATTTTTACAATATCAAGATACAGGTGGTGACAGAATGACAAGAAGATGGCAAAACAGATTTGTTCCCAAATCAAACAGTCATTTCCCCCTTCATCAGATCTTGGAGCTACTTTAATGTTTGTGCCTGTGATTGTTTCATTTGGTTCGTTTGCTGGTTAGTGCACTTTAAAGGAAAAGTCTGTCACGACGTCGCCCGGAGGCAGTGTTGAGATGAAACAGGCAGAGGAGGACCAGGCTCTCTCATCTAAACCGGCAGGTTGTACCATTCATTAGAGTGCGGAATAATGGTGCAGGAAGTACCTTTGATCTGACTAAAGACTCTTTTCCTTTTGATTTTCTTTGTGTTGAAAAAATAATTTTGTCAAAGTTATCAAGGGGGCAAATCCGACAGTAAAGAAATCAAATTGGGGTGGTTTTATAGCATCAATGTAAGACATAAACTGTATTGACTAAATCTAGTGAACCAGATACAATGACACTGTACATACATGTACCTACACTACAAAAGGGTGTGCCTACATGACCTACATAACACTGCGGCAATGACAAAAAATACAAAACATAACAAGGTGGTTTAAAAACAGGCAGTCTAAATCTTTCATTCAACTGCCAGATTGCCTTTAATTCTTGCACTACAAAACAACCGTTTTACAAGAATACATTTAATAGAATCATAAAGATATATCTTGCATTATTTTGGTAGGCAGTTTGATACAATCTTGCCAATGAAAAAGGAGACATGATATCTATACGTAGATCTTAAAACATTGCAGGAACACTGAGTAGCTGTGTACTGAGGGTATTGCCTGAAGGCATCAGTGAGTAAGGCTTTGGACTTAGGAAGACCATCAATCAGGGCATTACCAGGCAAGGTCAGATGGAGAACAAGTAGATGCAGCAGAACTCATTAGGCCCCAAGGAAGGCAGCTGGGAGGTTGTGGAAACAACAGCCAAGTAAAATGGAACATGTGGTTGTATTTGCTGAATGTCTTTCTCCAGGTAAGTGTGTGTAGAAACAGTTGTGATACCCATGCCCATATTGCCTTGCTACACTTCTAGTCCACAGACACAGACAGACAAGGTAAAAACCACATACTCCCTTGGGAAGAAGTATAAACTAGCCATGGAAAAAAATACCACAGAAACTACTGACCATGTTTATTTCCTGCTTCAAAGGCTTATTTTTGTTTCTATTCATGTACAAGCACTAAAATGTATTGCTGAATAGTGTGCTGAATGTAAAGTTTGAACAGGTTTCACTAAAATTGTGCTTCATGCTGAATAATGTCTGTGAAGACTGCAACTGTAATAGTTCTCAATTCTCACAACACAGAATGAAAAATGCCCTCCTTCATGTACATTCAATTACAGAGCGTGTAACCTCATTAGAACAATCTCATACAATTTTGTCATCCTCAAGGGAAATCCAAAGTGATTGCTTCCATAAATCAAGGTGTATTTCCCAGGGAAGATGTGACACCTGTCCAAGAAATGCATCTTGCGATTGAACATATTTCCTCAGGGCATCCTCAGTTTCTGCCATCAGAAAGTTGGATTAAATAATCATACTTAAAACATTTGTAATCACGCGATATTGACACTGGGAAAGATACGGACCAATGGAAGGCCAGTGGTTGTTACAGTATGAGGGAACAAACTCCAATGTTATAACAGCCACCATAATCTTTAGTTTACAGAGCATACCACCAGCAGTTTTCCAACCCCAGATGCCAGAGAAGACCTCCCCAAGGAAGCGTGAAAGACCAGATGGTGAAAGACATAGGATAGAGACACGGACTGCAGAGTTCATGCAACATTGAGGAACCTAACAAAGAGGAGAGAGGGGCAAGCTACAGGCCTGGGGCAGGCTAGGCTGATACAAACTCAAGGCACACCCAAAACAATGTAATTGTTTACATTTCCATCAATAGGGAAGAAATCTTTCATCTGGCACCACCACCAATGATTCAGCACCATGGACAGACTCAGTGCAAGTCACTGCCCTTTTCACAGATCATTGGCGATACAAGGGGCAAAAGAACACATTACCATGACAACAACAATGTTACATATATGTGTATGTTCCTGTCTATGGCTTGATTTTCACAATCATGTTGACAATGATTTCAATTTTTCATGATGATTGATAATGATTTTGTTTGCCCCGTGTTATGTAGTTCCCAATATTATCCATGCAAAGGGATCTGCACTTATAGTGAACAAGAATAGAATGGATACCAGGCTAGTTTTGACATGTCTTACCTTTTGTTGTTGTACAGGTGACTCCAGTTGTATAGTGACTGGCCCGTCGTTCTGTATACTGACCTGCATGTAGGCACCAAACCTACCATCTGTAAAATATGGGGGAAAAAAAAGCTCTAGTGTAATGTACTGAGTCTGTACTCGGTGGATCGGTGGAATATTTTGAAACAAAGCAGTTTGACTATCAATAACAATTATTCCAACCTGTACCAGTGACCACCTTTGCACAAAGACCACTGGTCATTGTCGCCACTTTTTGGGGATTCATTAGATTAAGTTTCCCATTGACCCAAACACATCCTGTGTAGAGTGGCCACAACAAGTTTGACTGTGTATAGTGGAGAATACCACTATGCATTCTCCCGCCCTCTCACAATTTCTTCACACTGACCTGAAAACTAATTCTAGACTTCTCTTCTACAGTTTAGTCATGCTTCTCTTACTATAGCAGAGGTCCTTTTAACTTCTAGGAGAAGTGAACAACTTTTCTTGTTCACTCCAGCTGTTAAATTCAAAGGTCAGAACCTCCACCTCCTAATGAAGAAGACCTATGGCACAATTTCTCGTTGTTATCTAACCTTTCCTCCGGGGGATGATGGTATCAAACCTAAGTAAGACTCCAGGCCAGCAGCGGCATCATAATGTCTGAGCCTTGGAAATTCAATACAGGTCTCCAAATTGACATTCTGACTGGAAGGCATTCCCAGTGAGAAGCCCACGCTTGCTGCTTAATTGCATTCTTTATTCATTCATTCTGTAGGCAGGACTGAAAATACATTTCTTCTGCAGAAATGCCAGTTGTGTAAACAATTTTCCTGCATTGCAGGTTTCGTGTGGGTATTTTAAGCCCTGGTGGAGACTTCAAATGTTCCTAGTTTGCCTGATAAAGAAATTATACATTCCATAGACAGAAGCAGTACAGACTTTCATGTAATTTTTAGAGCTAAAATCCTCATGTTTTCATACATTCCATACACTCACCACAAACACAGGCCAAGAATTTTTATGGAATGTAAAATAAAGTGCCCAAGTCTACTTTGCAATTTTCCTTAATATGTGCAATTTTACTAAATATAGTGCAATCTTTTTTGTGTAGATAATGAACTATTAGTAAGCACTTTACAGGTATGCTTAGCAATTTTACAGCCATACTTAATAACCCTATTAGTAAAAGTGTTAAGTATACCTGCATTTTATTATTAGGCTGCATTGCTAAGTATACCTAGCCACCCCTGGTAAAACCATAAAGTAATTAGAACTGGCTTTTTTGTCTGACTTTCACTAGTTGTCATGTATAATCCAGTAATGCAGGGGTTTTAGATGCGTGGATAGTAGTCATGAATCAGGCTTATCATTCTTGCATTTATATTGCTGTTGATATGTTTGGAGGGTTTTCTGCCTAATGCTGGGGGCCCTCAATTCCAATTAGATTCAATGACATTATTAAATATCACACACACATGTAATTTCAATAATTTCTCAGGATATGGAAAAGATGCCTGAATAACTGAAGAACTGATATGTATGCACTTGTAACCCTCAAGCAGATGTAAGGCCACCACCAATTCAATTTGTTGGTTTTAGGAGTGTAGAAAATTCTTACTAATTATAAACTGGAACATCAACTTGAAAACAGAGCCTGCAAGCCAATGTCATGCCTCGATTCACACACTCTCACGGAGTCAATGCTGTTAAATCTTGAAACTTTTGTGCTGGCTTCATGAAGTTCTTGCAGTGACCTCTTCAGACATGCTTTGACATAAAGATATTGCAATTTGGGCCATGGGTGAGTGAGGACTGGTGCAGTATTGAGTCAGAGGCACAAGTCTAAAAAATCTGCTGAACCAGACATCCTCGGCCTGGACCTACATTTATGGGACAGTAAATCCCTGGCTTAAAGTATTTCCCTTATAACATGTGCACATTGATGATCCTGTTCTCTGTAGCATGAGCATGTATGACAAGTTCCCAAGCAGGGCAGATCTTGGTGCTGCTAGTAGGCAACTTACTAGGTTGGTGTCTGCTATTCCCAGTCTCACAGAGGTTAGATTTACTTTTCATTAATGAACTCTAGCTACATGCTAAATACCATGACTGACATCCATGTTAAAGGCACACAATTGACAATCAGCCTTCAAGATTTAGCACCCCATATGTCTGTGTTCATTGACTCCATAAGTTAGCACAAGCACAGTGGTCATATCCATCCCTTTTTAGACTAATGCTATGAGGACAACTTCATGTTACTACATGTAGTTATATTGAAGTATGTCAACTATAAATACTGTAAGTATCTTTTAGTTTGTCATGTTGTGCAATACCTTTTATTTTGTCAGGTTGGTAAGCTTTCCTCATCTGTTGGAGGAACTCTTCATAGAAGGCCTGAGATTGTTCAGCTGCCATGGACTGGTGAAAGTCAGGCTTATTTCCCTTCAGTACACTGTAGAGTGTAAACTGTTGACAAATGGAACAGCTAGACGTCAGCACAAACCATGAACAAATGGACACTGTGTACAAATGGAACAGCATACAGTACAGGGTAAATGGCAACGGAACAGCAGTACCTTTAACATCTTTTCCATACTTTAATTTATTTATTTTTAAGATTTACCACATTTGTGGAAGAATTGACATAACAGGTGACTATCACCTCTTCAAGTCAAATGTCAAACCTGAGACCAGACTGTAAGGTTTGAACCACTCACACTGGGAAGGTCCCCTGCTCTTTTCGTTAAGTGTGGTGGGTTCTTTAAACGTGCATGGGGTGTGGCTCTCCACAAAAATTGGACCTCCATTTAACGTCCTATCCAAGGGATGTCTGTAACGGAAGCTAAGTACTCATTTTCACCAGAGTGAAGTGAGGAAATTTTGTAAAAAGTGCCTTTCCCAAGGGCACAAGATCGGTGACATCGGCAGGATTCAAACCCAGACCTTTTGGTTCCGAGCCGAACACACTACCGTTACGCCACACAAACCCACATACATTACAGTAAGAAATTTTACAACATAACCACTTGAACTAGAGTATACTTGTCCTCACACACCCTCAGTAAACAGGTCACATACATCAATTTGTTACAGACTGCTTTAATGTCTGACTCCCTCCCCATGTGAAGGTGACACAGTTTGAAAGTACTTAAAGCAGAATGTTTGGCTTTGATGTCTCAACTGATAGATGCAGATCATTTAGTATTAAAGAAAATCCTTCTGGCATCTTTCACCTTCAAAACGGGGGCCGTCCCTCTCTTCTGTACAACGTGAGGTACTAGTAATTAAAACAGAACTGTGAACGCATCAGAAACTGAACTGCCCTGTACTTACAGTTACACAACAGGTTCACGCCAGGACAAATTTCACACTGCCTACAAATCACTGCCAGATTCAAGACGGAGACCTACAAACGGGGACTGTCTCCATCATTGTAATTACTCTGTGGTTACACAAGATGTGCTTGACACAATGTTGACAGACTCTCACTGCATATTTCACTGACCATGCACACAATTATACAGTCAGTCAGATAGAGACTGTACTCTATCAAGGGTTCCAACAACTTCTCATCAATCGGGCCACATCAGTTTGATTTCTTGGTTCTTGGAGTCATTGCTTCATTTTCCTGATTTAGGAAATGCTAATATTTTGGTATCTACAAGAAATCAGCTTGGTGTGACATTGAACTGACAAGCTGGTCTGGCATTAGGCTATTTTTTACACTTCACTTTTTAAGTACTTACTATGAACTTACTCCATGCTTGTCAGATGTTCTTAAAATACAAAACAGGTTGAATGACAGCATAACCTTGAGGAGAATTTAAAAATTGACGCCATGTAATACAGTTACACAAGCTGGTCATTAGCCTGTGAACAATTTACATGTACATGTATATGCAGCTTTTCATGCTGAAATTTTCCCCTGCTGACTAACTACCTAGTTAAAAGAGCCATCTGGCAGATACTGTCAATATTGCAGAATAATGTTATCAGACTACATAAATAATGAATGGCTATTATAAAGCCATAAGCAGACCTGTAAAATAACCTGAAATACATAATGTTACATATTTCCATTAGGCCAAACCAATTTATTTTCTTGGTTCTTGGATTCTTGCAGGAATTACTATTCACTTCCATGGATGAATAACTGTAAACTCATTTCTTTTGGGGGAGATTTCATCTTGGGTTACGGGAAGAAAAGCTGTTTACAGTCAAAACAAAGTTGTACCGCAAAAGCACCTACTAGCATTCACTTGTTATGATTTTGCTGTGGAGGAACACCACAAAAACAAAACCACTGCAAACAGTTCAAGATTCATAGTAAAGGGAACTTACCTGACTCACACACAGGATTTCGTAGTTCTTGTCTTTGACACTGTGAGCCCATCTTTTCTCTTGGTCGTCATCAAACACTCTCAGGTTTAAAATCTTTCGGACTCTACAGCAAAGAAAAAGCATATCAACCATGAAATAAATCTCTGCCTTCTCTGATCATAACCAGTATCATGATGTTTGTTTGTGCATTTCCCTCCGGAGCTCCCCATCTTTTCAAGCAAGAGCTTGCTTCCACAAGTTTATAAAAAGTCTCATTACCTAGCTTTGGCTAGGGACCTGATGGGACATAAAGCTAGTCAGAAGTTATATATTTGAGAGCTACACCCTGACCTTGAGCATGTTAAAGAACACACCACACGTAACAATAGTATGAATCCATCTCAGAGTGTCAGTGGATCAATCCTACAGTGGTCTCATGCCGCTTATACTTACTGAACAAAACTGTTGTGTTACGCCAAAAGATAATTTCCTAGTTATGTGAAAACAAACAAAAAAGTGGCTCTTACATATATTCCATGTCCTTTGGTGTGTCATCTCTGGAGACACCAATTAGTACACAGAGGCCCCGCCCAATAGAGCTGACCAACTCATCTCCAACTTCAGAAAAGAAACAAAGGAATACAGAGGAGTATGTGAAAAGTGGTGGCCATCTCCATTGAGATGCTATGCTATTTCCTCAACATGCTATTTCCTCAACAATGTAAAAATATATTTCACAATGTAGCCCATCAGAATGTATCTAAATATCTTATTATAAGTTGTAAAATAACAAAGTGAATAACTGCATGTTGGAGGGGTGTCCTGCCTGCATATAGTGGCTGTCTAGATTGTGCTGCCAATACACTATACAAGCGATCACCATTACGTCATGGTAGGCAAGAAGCTGGTGACGGTTGGTTGATAAATTTCCATATGATAGTCTGCATATGTATTAAATAATTTTGCATGTATATCATGTAAACAAAACAGCGATCACTCGTATTTTGTCTATACTCATAATGTAATGTAATTAGTAACTTTACTGAATCACCGTAGCAACAGGGAAAAAGCTGAAACTTGGTGTATGAATCAAACAGGGACTTTTTTTTCAAATAAAACATTAAAAGAGTGTGGGTTTATAAAGGTATATAATAAAATCAGCTCATGGCACTGCTGGGGTGTTACATAATATTCTGACTTCCCCTATTTAAACTTGATGGAATATCCTGAACAAAGATCTGGGGTATGCCCCATAGAAGTCGTACTGCCAAAACAAAACAAACATGTTTCTTTTTACGGCACACGCGCTGTCAGTGACGAGTCTTACGTGTTTTCCTGCCTATACTAGAAACACTGAGCTGAGCATGACGTATAAATGCCAAGGCCGTCCGCGCGTCCTGGTGAGAGCTCGAGGTGCACGTTCTCGCCTGACCTTTAGCATTTTGGCATTATCATTGATAGTTATACATAGACATCTGACGCTATATATGATGCACACTCGGATGCCAACATCACAAGACCAGGGGATGACGCGGGAAGGGCTGACATAACAGGCATGCCCATGCCTGACCTGACTTTCGTGGCATGCGGCCAACGAACAACATGGTCCGTTGCACGTTGTGTCGGTCGTGCATGCGATCACCCACGTTACCTGACGACGCTAGCTTGCATAACACGTT